AATAGAATAGAATAGAATAGAATAGAATAGAATAGAATAGAATAGAATAGAATAGAATAGAATAGTTGGAAGGGACTTTGGAGGTCTTCTAGTCCAACCCCTTGCTCAAGCAGGAAATCTATACCATTTCAGGCCAATGGCTGTCCAATCTCTTCTTTAAAAACCTCCAACCTTCTGAAGGTTGAAGTTCCACTGGTAAATTGATCTCACTTTGTCAGGAAATTCCTCCTCAGTTCTAGGTTGGTTCTCTCTTTGATTGGTTTCCATCCTTTGCTTCTTGTTTTACCTTCAAGTTCTTTGGATAATAGGTTGACCCCCTCTTCTTCAAGACAGCCCCTCAGATATTGGAACATGCTATCATGTCACCCCTAGTCCTTCTTTTCAGATGTAAAAGTTATTAAGATTTTTAATATGAGGCCCCCAAAGGCCACCCATTGGAGCCGAATAGAAAATAGCAGCTGGTCTGATCCCCCATGCGAAACCAGAGTTAGGCTAATTATGGTGAGAATGCATCTCAATCATCTGAAGAAATCATATAAGCTGCCAGGCGGAAAACTTGGATGCAGCACAAAATGTGAACTCAGCCTTAACATTAAGCAACAAAGCTGCCTCAGGACATGTGCTCAGACCGAATATTGTCCCCTTGCAAAAATTATCCTCCTGATTTTCAGGTCACACATGTTTGTATTCTCAACTGTCCAATGGAAAAAGGGAAGGAACCTTCCTTTCCATTTTTTTAAAATATTTTTTTTATTTTAAATACAAATAATACAAACATAGTACATATACATCTAAATACAAAAATAAAGGAGAAAAATGCAAATATTACAGTGCAACCCACCCCCATTTTTTTCTTATAATTCTTCTTCTATAACAATTAAAAGATTTACTATATATTCCAATTGTGCCCTTATCCCTTCCAATATATGGACTGTTTCTTAGTATGATTTGATTGCTTATTGTACCCTATGACTATTATTAAGTGTTGCACCTTATGATTTTTGACACTTGACGAATATATCTTTTTTTTTTGTATACAGAGAGCATTTGCACCAAGACAAATTCCTTGTGTGTACAATCACACTGGCTGATAAAAATAATTCTATTCTATTCTATTCAAAATGACATATATTCTTGAGTAGATTTATTCCCTTTGCCTTCCACCAACACTGTTTTTATAAAATCCCCCATATTACATTAAAATTGTTTGCTTTAATCATCCCTTTTTAAAATTTCATTTCTTTTGTTAATTTATCATTTGTTGCCATACTCCAAATTTTATTATGCCACTCATTTCTTTGACTATCCCAATTTCGTCCCCAATATTTAACCATCACTAATCAAGCAGCCATTATCAAATTTACAATTTCCTTTCCATTGTTAGGACATCAAAAAGCCTTCTTCGTTGCTGCTCGATTGCAAATCACCCAGAAGCCTTTCCAATATTTTCTGACCCATCAACTGACAGGGGTCCTCAAACTTGGCAACTTTAAGATTTGTGGACTTCAACTCCCAGAATTCCTCAGCCAGCTATGAATTCTGGGAGTTGAAGTCCACAAGTCTTAAAGTTGCCAAGTTTGGAGACCTTTGCAACAACACAACAAGAAAAGACAAGCAATCCACTCAACCAGTTGGAAACCAACTTCACCCAACACCCCTCCGGAGACTTTGGGAATTACTGCTGGGAATTACAACTCTAGAGTAGGAGAAAGTAACAAGCAATTAAAAGTGCCACGGAGCAATTAAAAGAACCATCTCAGAAAGAGAAACAGGAAGGAGGAAGGGAAAGCGAGAATTAAAAAGAGTAAAAGAGATTCAAGTGAGGTCATTTTAAAGGCCTCTTGTTTTAAGGGCAAGAGATTAGAAAGCTTCAACGTATCTGTATCACCCCCTACACACTCCAAAGTGATCCTTTAAGTTTAGAACAAAGTTTCCTGAATCCGCCCACAATTTAAAAGTCTACTTTGGAAGAGCGGAATGTACAAGGCTGCCTGTTAACATGGAGGGGCGGGCAGATGTTGCAAAGCAGGGAGACTGCACACTATAGACAGAAAAATAAAACAGGAGAGAAAAAGTAAGAGGGTAGGGAGGGGAATAATTCTTCTACAGGACACCACCCTTGAAAAGGAGAGAAACGCTGGACAGGACAGGTGGCGGACAGGACAGGTGGCGGGAAAGCTTCACACAACCAAGTCCCCTTTCCCCCCACCCCTCAGCAAATATTTAATCTCCCAGGCAATTTTGTGTCTGCACAAATTCCACAGCTTTGCCACATGTGTGGCTCAGCAGACAGTGGGAGTCCATAAAGCAGCTTCCCACACCTCTCTTTGTAGTGTTGCACATGCAAACTATTTGGCAGAGAAGTCAGGTCGAGAACGTTACTGGGGTTGCACAGCACAATACAAAGTCTCTCTCTCTCTCTCTCTCTCTCTCACACACACACACACACACACACACACACACACGCGTGCCTTTGAGACTCTTGAGTCTTGGGTGCCCTTCAGAGGGACGCCGATTTAATCCCCACAACCTCCACAAAGAAAGTTTTTCGGAAAGTTTGCAAAACTCCCAATACGAGGGGTTTCAGCCGAAGCAGTTCAAAAAAGGCTGGGAGTGCGAGAGTCAGCAGCCTTTTCTCGCTTTGTGAAAGAAAGTGGGGGGGGGATTTAGGGGGGAGAGGAAGCCCTGGAGCCCTTTCTTCTGAAAGAAAGAAGTCCCCCCGATTTCCTCGTTGCAAACACGGCCACGTTCAAAAAAAGAAAGTGTGGGGGGGGAGAGAGACAGGGAAGACTAGATCAGAACTCAAAGAGACTTTCGAGGGGGCGCGGACGACGAGCGCCCACCACCAAAGCCTTCTCCCCATAGGGAAACTTCTCTCTGACATTTAGAAGGGAGGGGTCCCCTTCTCCTTCCTCCTTTCCTCTTTAGCCCCCCCCCCCAATACCCCCCCCCCCTGGGAACCCCCCCCCATGCAAACGTCCCACGTTCAAAGCAAAGAATCCCAATTGAAAGCAGCCATTTAACAGTCCAGTCTCCTCTCTTTCTTTCTCCTCTTTCTTTTCTCTCTCTCTCTCTCTCCTCTCTTCTCTGTCTCTCTCTCTCTCTGTGTCTCTCCCCCACACCCACCCCTCCTTCCACCGGACTCCCCCTTCCCCCGCAGGCCATGCAGAAGTCAGACCCGCTCTCCCTCTCCCCTTCGGCCAGCGGACCCCCCCCGCTCCCCTCCCGAGCCTTTGCCGGACGGAGCAGCTCGCCCATCGCACCGACGCGCCGCACAAAAGTTTCCAACTCCGCCTAAAAGTTTCCCCAAAGCAAGCGGGGAAAAGTTTCCTAGCCCGACAACCGGCTCGGGGAAGCCAACCTCCACTCCCCACCTCCCCGAACCCAAAGTCTTCTCCGGAGCCCCTCCACTCACCCAGCCGGGGAGGCTCGGCGTCTGTCTGGCCCTCCGCGGGAAGGAGGGCAAAGGCGGGAGAAGAGACGCGCCTGGTTGGGCATCCACGCGGAGAAGCTGCAGGGTGGGGAAAACGGGCTGCTCCGGGGCCGCCTGGGACGCCAGAGCTCTCGGGCGGCTGCTGCTGCTGCTGCTGCGGCTGCTGCTGCTTCCTCCAGCCGCGCCGAGCCAGCGAGCGAACTAGGCAAGCAGCCGGAGAGCGGGCGAAAGGGCTGCTCTCCAGCGCCGCGCGCCTGCGTCGAGGGGCCGCGGAGCAGCTCGCGAAAGAAGGGAGGAGAGGGGGAGGAAAATTGGAGGAGGGAGGAGGAGGAGGAGGAGGAGGATGGTTCCTTGCTTCTCACGCTCCTTTTGGGGGGGCGGGGAGGGAAAAGGGGTCCACGGGCGTCCCCTGCCGGGGCTCGGAATGAAGACAAGCGGCCCTAAGGAAGCGCTGCCCGCCGCGCGCCTGGCTTCGACCCGTGGCAGCGGGAAAAGAGCCCGCGGTTGGAAGCCCCGGCTGGCTCTGCCCGTTGAATGGTGGCCCCTCTCCCCGCCACAGCAGGGGAGGAAGAGCACGCTGGAGGTGGTGGGTGGGTTCAAAGGAGATTCTTTCCCCCGCACCCGCATCCCGTGCGTTCTGTTCCTTCCCCCTCCCGCCCCTCTTTCAATGGTAACTTATTGTTAGGAGAAATGTTGATTTACACACACACACACAAAGAGAGAGAGAGAGAGAGAGTTTTACTGGTTTTAACAGTTGCACGTTGCCTGGGTGGCAAATAAATCGAGGAAGAGAAGGATGGATGGATGGAAAGAAGGAAGGAAGGAAGGAAGGAAGGAAGGAAGAAAGAAAGAAAGAAAGAAAGAAAGAAAGAAAGAAAGAAAGAAAGAAAGAAAGAAAGAGGGAGGGAGGAAAAGGGAAGGAAGGAGGGTGAGGGAGGGAGGGAGAAAGAAAGAAGGGAGGGAGGGAAGGAAAGAAAGAGAGAGAGAGAGAGAGAGAAAAGAAAGGTAGTCCTCGACTTACCACCACAATGCTTTTAACATAAGTTACCTGGAGATGAATGGCAAATAAATCAAATATAAATAAATGAATGAATGAATAAATGAATGAATGAAAAGCATACAGGTGGTCCTCATCTTAACAACCACAACAGAGCCCAACGTTTCTGTTGCTAAGCGATGCCACTTGTTGAGTTTTGCCGCCATTTTAGGACTTTTCTTCTTGTCACGTTGGTGAAAAGGGAATCCCGGCAGTTTTTTAAGTCAGTGAAGATGGTTGTTAAGTGAATCCGGCTCCAAAGCGGGGGGGTTCACATGACATACACCCCCGGGGACGTTGCCACCATCATAAATATAAGTCGGTTGCCAAGCATCCGAATTTTGATCACGTAATCGCGGGGATGCCGCAACGGTTCTTCAGCATGGAAAAACGATCATGAGGTGCTTTTTCTCCAGTGCCATAGTGACTTCAAACGGTCACTAAATGAACTGTTGTAAGTCGAGGGCTGTGTTTAACGGTCACTAAATGAACTGTTGTAAGTCGAGGGCTGTGTTTGTATACAGGATAAGCAGAGTCGTGCTTCATAAGGGCAGTAATAAACTTGCCTCTGTGCCAACTTAGATTCCTGTCAGCAATAAAAGAAAACCCTGCCCTGAATGGGATGACCCCGCCTACCCTGTAAAGTCACCTCAGCCGATGATTTAACAGCTCAGGAATGTGATCAAGAATCTTCATTTTACTTTTTTTTTACTTTTTTACTTTTTTTGCTGTTCCTGAAGAATGTTGGTCTTTTCAGCCAGCTGAGGGGATTCCAGCTGGTGGAATTCAGTAACAAAAAAATAAATTACTATTGCAAAATAGAATAGAATAGGATAGCAATAAGAATAGCAATAAGAATAGAGCAGAGTAGAATAGCAATAAGAATTAGAATGGAATGGAATGGAATAGAATAGAAAAGAATAGAACAGAACAGAATAGAATAGGATAGAATAGAATAGCAATAAGAATAGAGTAGGGTAGAGTAGAATAGCAATAAGAATGGAATGGAATGGAATGGAATGGAATAGAATAGAATAGAATAGAATAGAATAGAATAGAATAGAATAGAATAGAATAG